AACTCTCTCCCTGAATATTTTCAACAGGGTGAACTGAAAACCAAACCCAAAAACCCCAAAGCAAGCCCTCAACCAACTAAAAGTTCAAATTGTAAGGAAATTAAAAAACCCCAACTGTTAAGGGTTCAATACCAACCTGGACTCTGGTTTCACACTCCTACAAATTTTGCAATACAGTGTAGAAACTGCCATGCACATCTCGTGCCCTCCCTGCTATACAGATGAACTCCAACAACTCCTCTTTACATGCTCCCCTTTCCTGCCCATACTTAATATAAAAGTTTTGTAAGGACCCTGTCAGTACACTGGGTGAAAAAAAAGCCAACAAACCCAAAGCATGTTTTCTTAGCTGAAAATGACTAACTTAGGTTAAAATACTGTATCGTGAGTTAGCAGATGGAGATCCATTCTGGAATTTCCACTGGGTCTGTCTGAAGCAGCAAACCTGAGCTGCCTTGTCTTCATTGCTATTTTAACCTCTGCTAACAAGCCTGGGCCAACCCACCCACATTTAGAGACAACCTTTATTTGCAATATAAACAATATCCATGTCACAATGAATAAAGGGCAGGTCTGTGGGATTTCATATGGGAAAAGACAACTGCTTTTGCATGCCATGGGTTCCTGTCTTCTATTAGTGTCCTAAATGAGGAGGTGGGGTGTGTCTTGGGAGGTCTAATGACAGACCAGAGAAAAAGAGCTGAAGGGAAGGTGGAGCCTGGCTACACATGCTCTCTGCTTAGCAGGGAGACCCCTGCATGCTAGACAGAGAGGCTCCACTCACATCTACATGGAGACAAACCAGAAGTAAAGGTTCCTTACAGGACGGATAAGGGGTGTCCAAGAGTGAGCATTTAAACAACAGACTGGGAGGAAGAAGATGTCAAATCACAGAGTGTCAATGCAATGACTTGTTTCTCAAATACAGAGTGAACAATCTTGCACTTAATTTAAATACAAGTGATGAGTTGTAAGGGTGGTGAAAATGGCAAATAAATTCTAGGAAATTGCATATAAACAGGAATCATTGTTATTAAATCATTTAGGATGGATGTGTTTCAAATCTAGCTCACAGTTGAAACTGTTTTACAGCTCTAGCTGGGGAGTTTTAACAAAATTGCAGATTGTAGGGTGGTTACATAAATGAACCTCAATAGACTCAACATGTTGTGATCTCAACTCTTTAGTGATTTCCACTGCAGTTTTATATGCAAGAACCGACAACACACGTGTGTTCTGTGCACATCTGCAAACACGTGACAGGGAAATTGCACACACACGTGCAGGCTTATTCCCCAGCTCCACAGGCACACTTTCTGCAAACTGCTCTTACAGGACAACACAATGTCTTAAATAGTGTTAAGAATCCTGGTATTTCTTTTCACTTCTCCTCAGAGATCTTTTGTTTCCTTTGATCTGACTCCTGTCTGTATTAGGAAGGAAAGACTATATTACCCAGCACACGCCTGGTACTTGATCTCACTCCAAGCTCTGCGTGCTAATCCCACCACCTCTGTGGTGCATGTGTTTGTGTGTGTGTACAGACATGCACATCTGCTAGTGACAGCCCTACACTGGCTGCTTTCCCCAGCCTGCTCTGTATGAGAAGGGAACAGGACCTTGGCCCATAGCTGGCTCCACAGCCCAGCTGCCAACATCAGCTCCCACTCCTTTTTCTCCAGAACCTGTATAATGCATTTCTGTTTTAAACACATCTCTACATCAGCTGTCAGACTAGCAGTTCAAACACCCCAGTTCTCACGTGTTTCCATTCCCCTCACTAAGAGAGGACAGTCTCCACTGGAATTTGGCTACTGAAGCACTAGGAAACAGAAAAAGCTTCCAAAATCTGGCTCTTTTCTTTGCCTACTTCCAGCAGATAGCTGGAACATTTAAAAAAAATCATCCCAAGCTTGAACACTGAACACTTCTGAAAATACTGGTTCTAAACTAGTGGAGATCAAACTTCTCAAATGGCCTCAATGGTTTTAGAAAAGCCTGTTGACACAGATATGGCTGTTAACTCCTCAGCTCTGGAGGGCAGAGCATGTGCTAACACTCACTTGATGTCCTCAACAATTCTCCTTGACTGCAGGGGTAAGTCACACAGCAGAATGCTCTTGTTGGCCTGTGGGAAGGACTGCATGCCCTGATGAACACAAATATTACAACCATTTCTGTTTCTTCAAAGATCTCTAATTCATCAGTAATGTTTCAACGGAATAATGGCCACAAACTCTAGCAGCAATTATAGAAATGTGTTTTGTTTTATCTATTTGATGCGTAAGTGCAAGCTTTTTAATGAACAGAAAGTGACGATGCACTGGCAGGACAATGGGGAAAATGGAGGAAAGGATATTGAAAGCTTTAAGCACTGCTCTCCTTTCTGCTGTCTCGCCCGCTCTCTGTCTCATACATTTGCCCTCTCTGCCTGTGGTTCCACTGTGGAAGCCATATGGCTTCCAACTCTCCTCTAAGTAGCCACTGAGAATTGTCTGCAGTGGAATACTGCCAAAGATCTTCCCGGTTTAATGACATGGGGAAGAGCGCTGTGCAGCGCTCACCCAGCACAGAGACTCGCTGCGTCCTTGATTATGATCCTGGAGCCAGCAAGCAATGCTGGGAATTGAACCATCAGTGCCTCAAATACAGAAGTTGACATGTGCCAACCCCTGCTGCATTCAGCCTCTGTGCATGGCATATTAATGAGCCCTGAATTTGAGGTCCAACCTTCAAGCTTGCACAGAAGGAATTACCCAAAGAGAAAAAAAGGTCCTCTTCATGCTGTTTCCATCTAACCTTGCACAGTGATACTAGTTGCTTCACTGAGTTTGTCCAGTTTTAAGCAGTAACATTTTTTTTAGACCGTCACATCATACCTGTGCATATATAAATAAAATTTCCCTTGATTTAAAGATTTTTAAAACTAGCTTGAAAATATAAATTAAGCCAGGAGGGTATATGTGGGGAGAGATGAACTAACCCTCATTTTCATACCCTATCCATAAATACCTGCTAAATGTTAGAGTCAGGTTATAGAGGTAGATGGAGCTTTCTTCAGCCTGATTTTATGTCACATTGCACTAGGTAGCAGGAACGTGTGGTTATCAGTGTGATAACAATCTCAGTCTAAATTGTAAAAAGGAGGGTGTTCAGCATGATGGCTGCATTCCCATACTAGTACAAAAGAGCATTTCTGGGGACACCCTCAGTGCCATGAGTGTCAGAAGAGGAGCCCAATACCTGTGGAAGTTCGTGATGCACTACAATCCTCAGCCGCATAATCCAATTTAGAATTGCTTTGACTTTTTTTACTTGAATTTCCCCATTTCGAAGGAAAGTCAGAGCCATCTACAAGTCAGCTGGAATATGGGGTCCCAGGAAATTTTGCAGTTTCTTTTGTTCTTGCAAATGCCTGGTGCATAATGAAAGTTGGTATCCTATTTTCTTAGAAATATTTTTTCTCCGTGTGCATATTTGGCAGAAGAGGCACAAGTCAGATGAAAGAGCCCCTACAGAAGGAGGCTGTCTTTCTTTGGAAAGGGTTTCACCTCTGGAGGGAAATTTGACAACCTATGAAAGCTGTGTCCTGCTGCAAATCTGTCCAAAAGTCAGAGAAAGGGACAGCTTGTAGAGGGTGAACAGAGCCAATGTAAAATGTAACTCTCCAGGACAGCATGTTTCTCTAGTGGTAAGAAGGAAGGACAACAATCATTGACCCTGAAACCACAGTCTGCAGCCTTCCTAAGCAAAGATAAAAGACTTAACAGGCCTGTAAAAAAATCACATACTGATTTCCATTTCTGTCAAGAAATAAAGCTAAATAAGTTGTGGTGTTCTTGAATTCTTCTCAGCTTTGAAACCATTTAGAAATTTAACTAATCAAAGCCCACAACAATCCCTGATGAAAGCCTACTTACAGCTCAGGAAGCTATGGAAGAAAGGTCACAAGATTCACCGAGTCACAAAAGCTCTACTGGACGTGTGTTATTTGAGGGATCTGGCCTGAGGCATCCAAGCCCAATTTGTTCTATGTCTCAGGTCTGCAGATTCACATCTTCCTGTCCTTAAGTCAAAGACGATGTTCTTCAAAAACACCCTGCCAGCTTCTTTGACTGCCCAACTCACTCACTAACAGCCATGATGCTAGAGCAGGTACAGCACATGGTGGCAGCTGGTCACATACAGTGACTCCAGCCCATGCATGCTATTGCTCAGTGTTCCTATGGCAAAGAAAAACACTTTTTCAAATACACCACCTCTTTCTCCAGTATATCACAAAGCTCACCGCACATTCCTGCCGAAGAAAGTACCGTATGGCAAAGTAACAAGAACAGATGTGAGTGCAGACCCAGACAGCACACAAGACAGAAGTACCAGAAGCCCATGTGAACTCTTCTGTTTCTTCCTCAGCTTTTACTTGACAGAAAACAACAAAAAAAACTCCCACTAATTTTGATGAGAATGAACACCAAATTACTTCACTAAACATTGATCTAATTATTTCCTCAATCTTGAAATAAAGCAGTATATAGTACTTATTATCTTAAACCAATACATGGTGCAACAGCAGTGGACACACATTCCCTGAACACCCAAATAACTTGATTTTATCAACAGTGAAGCTCTAAAAACTATAATGACAAGTACTACTCTGATACCAAAACCAAGAAGTGTCATTCTTCTATGAATAAACTGCTCACACTCAAAAATACCAACCAAAAAATGTGTTCTTTGTTAAGTACTTCAGAACATAGAATAAGATTTGCTTTTAGGAAAGGCAGGAGCTGTTTGAGTTGGCTGTGACTCAGAAAGTCACAGAAGTCTCATAAGCCTCCAATGAAAGTTGCTGATTGGGCTTCATTGGGAATCTCTCTGTTTCAGCTTATCTGGATTGGATATCAAACCAGGACCATTACACTTACAGTCTTGCACTTTCAGACAAAAACATGCAGTAACCAGCTTTGCCATATTTAATAAAACAATAAACTTTGGCTGACCTTTGGCAAGCGTTCGGGGTCACCAGGGTGCCGGGGGATAACCTTCTGTAACCTTTGGAAACCATAGTCAATGGTGGGTTCGTTCAGAGCTGAAAGAACAACAAACAACATCGTGATGTGACAAATGCGCAGCAAGCAGGCTCCGTCGCGCTGTAACAGTTGGCAACGCATTGCAGGGCCAAGGAAGGATCACAGCAAAATCCCCTTTTACTGAAATCAGCACTGGCTATGAAGTCTTGGTTCAAACGCTGTTTGAGGTAGGTTCTGAGGCTTTGGTACAAACAGAAATGCAAACCTTCCCACTCGAGTTCCTAAAACAAGGTTGCTGGAAAATTTGGGGATGTTGCATACATCTTCCAAATAGGAAGCAATTATTCTCTCTGAAAGCTGTGATTAAATTAATTAGATAAATACTTTGCATCCCATGTTTCATGTTGGGTTTTTTTCCCACTTTCATATTACGAAGAATGTGCTTTGTGATTGGATGACAGAAGAACTACTAGGGAGTCCCTCTTCTTCCAGATTCCATTATCTATTTAATATGCTCCATATGCAATGATCACGTATAATTTTGTTGTGAACTACAAGCATTTCTCTTGGCAGAAGCTTTATTTTTTACTCATCAACATTGACTTCAGCAGCCCAGCTCAGGCTCCAATCAGCACCAAACTGATCCAAAAGAATTAATGAATTAAAATTTAAAATAATCTGTGGTTTAAATTCATCTTTCCCCAGTCCTTGACCAGTAAAATGGAAGAGAGAGATGGTGGAACACTTTAATCTTCATGAAAATGCTGGTCTGCCTGCATTAATCGAAACTCTGATTGTGCCAAGCCTTTAAGCACATGCTTATCTGTAAGCACATACTTAAACCCATTTGCTTTCAGCAAAGCAAATTTGAGCATATTATGTTTTTTATATGATTGCCTATAATTACAGGGGACTGCATTGAATGACCTTCTAGCTGTATTTCCAGTCATATGATCACTTTAAAACTCAGATGTTAGTGAGACTTCAACATGTGCTTAAAATTTCCTAAGTGCTTTGGTGAACTGGAACAACAGTCAAGCATTCTCAAGCATCTCTAAACAGCAGCACATCTTGACTCTCCCACGCCAATAGAGACGACGAAATTTTCCACAGGAATTTGTTTGCAATTTTTTTGAGTTAAATGAAAAAGAAAAAATTCCACTATTGATTTTTTATATTTGTAGACTTTTTTTGGAAGGAAGGAAATATATATACA